TATTATTCATATCTCTCCTCCTGCTGACGGAAACCAGAACATAACTTCAGTTGGCCTCTTTACTGACTTGCTTTCATTTTTTCCCTTACCATCACAAAGGTTTTAGTTTCCCCCTGCATGTCCTAACCACAATTATCAGAGAAGTTGATGGAACTTGCTGTGCTTATCTTTATGAGTCCTTGTAGAAATGTCAGTAAATCTCTTTTGCTCTCTGCAGGTTGCATTTTTCAATCAAATTAATTAGTTTATTCATAGAGAATAAATCTCCTGTTGTCCCTATGCCAGTTGTCCTCTTGTACTTCCACAGTTGGAAGTTTTGTCTTTTTTCTTTTCTCTCCCTCACGTCCCACTAACTGAAGGGTATTTTGCAGCATAAAACAAAACTCATTTTGCCTGCTCTTCTTAAGGTTTCAAACTTGAGCATGTCAACATAGTCTTGTTCTAATTATTTTATTTAAATAATGCAATCAGGGTACTTAGTTCTTTCATTTCAATCTCATAAACATTGTTAAAGAATTGTAATTTACCAATAGTAGTATGTTTGTGCCAAAGTGTTTCATGGCTAGCGATATCTTAACAAACTTATTTATTGTATTAGCTTTTACTTCATCATCAATTCACTTCTGTGAAGATATCAGAATTGGAGAGGAAAGAAATCAATAAGGAAAGAATAAAATGAAAATAGAGTAAAAAGAAGGAAGAAAAGAGGGAGAAGCATCTGCATATTTGTTTTTTTATATTCCTTTACAAGCGTATTTTTAAATGTTTCCATTGAAAAATTATAACTGCGGACGTAATTTTAGGCACCTTGTTCATGTTCCTTTGCCCCCACAGAAAATATTCATAAACATATTCTTTGCAAAAAAAAAAAAAAAAGAGTGTGACAATCAGAACAACCTGGAGGGAAAAAGTTAAAAATATAGATGAGACAAAGCCATTTGGTATGGTTAAAATAATTAATACATGGCCAGTTATTTATCGTGATGATCATTCTTTACATTTTGTCATAATGTTGCTTTCACAAAGTACTTTTTCATACCCTATCTCAGCCAATGTCTCTTAGAAGTGTGCCAGACATACAGCTCTGAAACTAAGCATCATAGAGGGAGGAAGTGTGTTGCCTCAGTTCACACGGATAGGTGTTTGAGAAAGTGAGACCTTATCTGTTAGGCCAATTAGAGTAGATCTAGCATAAGGTAAAAATTAAGGCATTTTTATTCCTTCTATTCTTCTTTAATTTCTTGGTTTGTTTGATAATTGTTAACAATTTGTAGGCTAAATAGTATTTCCTAGATGCGACTGTGTAAAGGTAGCATCTGCATGCATGAGGCAAGGATGTCTATTTCCAAAGCAAAAGCAACTTGACTGTTAAAAAGGCCAAAAAAAAAAAAAAGGAACTAAAATAAATACAGCAGGAAGGATTATGAATTAACTACTGGGCTAAGATAGTGGGATGCACTCACCTGGCATAAGACAGTAAGTAGCATCTCTCACCTGGGTGACTACACTGACCTTAAAACTGTCTTTCTTCTTCCATTAGCAATACTGGTATTTTATTTACCCATCTCTACCCTACCCAAAACTGTCTGATGGCTTTTTCTTGTGTTTATGCTAGAACTTCAAGTCCTCGTCTTTTACTCTTACAATGCCATACCTGACAAGACCCCTACCTATATTTCAACCCCATCTCATACCTCAGCTATCTAACCTTCCTTCTTGCAACTCTCCAGCCATGCCAGACTTTTGATTCCTCTAACAAGCCAAACTGTCCCTATTATAGGGTCTTTACGTTGGCTGTTCCCTCTGCCTGAAACGTATTCCTTCCCAATCTGAAAATGGTGGTTTCTTCTTGTCATTGAAATTTCCAATTAAATGGTACCACCCCAGAAACAATATTCCTGGATCACAAAGGCTAAAGTAGCCCCTCAAATACTCTATCACAATAGTTTGTAATCTCTTCAGAAAACTTATTCCTATCTGATATTTTTCTTTTTTTTTTTTTTTTAATTGGATGTCAGCCTCTCTAGAGCGTCAGGAGATCTGAGACCCTACCTTTTGTGATCATTACTTTGTCCTCAGGGTCTTGAAATGTATCTGTTATCTCAAGGTATTCCATTAATATTTGTTAATAATTGTGTGTATATATGTACATGTGTACATGTGGTGTTATATATAGTTCTTTATATATAGTGGCATATATATCACAAGGGATATATCAAGTATAACTTGATTAATACTGATAGATATGATGGCAAAGAATATTGATAATTATCAGATGTAAATATTCATACATTTTAGTTATAAGCTTACCTGTATTCCCAACCAATTTTATTTTACTTTTGCTATAAGATAGTGACTTAAGAGTTCTAGCACGGTTTTGGTTATATCTCATATGCCTAGACAAACCTTAACTATCAGTCCTCTCATCACTAAATCTATAGTTAGGCAGAGATGATGGATTCTGACTGCATCTATCCACACTCTGTGTTGGAGAGAAAGATATGAGAGGCGTGGACTGATCCATTTTTGTTTACTAGGATTTACTAGGCCTTCCTACTCCAAAATACTCATGTTTGGAAACAATAGGTCATGCTCCAAATTGAAGCTAGTCATCAACATAACCATTATAATAGAAACTGAACAGGTAACAGTTAATTAAAACATTAAATAAAACCAAGAACTATTACTTTTTAACTACTGATAATATCCTACTGTCATAATCAGCTTTTTGATTCTTCCAAAAAAATTCTATCAAAAATTAGGTCCAGCAGAGTTTGCATAATGGCTTATCTCATTTAGAATTTAATAGATTTTTTTGCAAGAACACACACTAAGTTGGTAAAATTGTTATGGAATATTTACTATTTATAAACTCATAGGAGAGTTATGAATGTGCTTTGCTTAAACAATACTTTGCATACGTGTATTTCAACAAATTAACCAAAAAGACTGTGCTACAGGTGGTTATATATCCATGTCTCATTTTTAAAACTATATTTTAGCAAAACCTATTCCAGCTAGAAGGCTGCCCTTGCCCCACTGATAATCATTCTAAAAGCTTAAACACAAACCAAAGTCCCCAAATTTTCCCTAAGGACAAACTATTTTTTGATGGTGATCCTAGCTAAGTAATGATATTACCACATTAGGTTTCCTATCCTTCAGTAAAATGAGGGTTAGGAAATTACACATATCCACATACACACATAAACACACATACATACACACACACACACACACACAGATGTGGTAAGGATTTCTAAGTGTTATTTATAAACAGATAAGTGTGTGTATATACTGTAATGATTTTTTTCAATTAATCTTTTTAAAAATGTTATAATAACAGATTGCGAACTTAGATTTTAATTTTATGTTGAATTTACCTTTCCTTGCAACCCAGTCCCCAGTTGCAAATAATTAATTGATTAGTATGAATGATTAATGTCATATTGTTAGTCCTATTGAAAAAAAGGAGTGAGGAACAATGGGGGTGCTTAGCCTCCAGAAGAAAATGGAAAAATAGAATGTAAAAAGGAAAAGACAGTGATGGCACTGTGGGAAAAGCAGTAAAAGAGGAGGCTAGATATTAAAGACTTCAGAATTTTGTCTGAGGTTGCCCTATTTAAATCGTACAGATCAGCGCCAACGGATGCTGTAATCTGAACAATGTTGGCATATGACCACAAGTAGGCAGCTCTATATCTTATGATTTATGATGATAAATGGGTGGAGTAAATTAGTTGACTCTTGGGTGGGGGAAAGGGTGCAGTATAAACTCAACAGTTATAATATGGTTATTATAACCCTCACCTCAAGGGTTAGTTGTAATCATCAAAATGATCACAGCGGAGGAAAATGTCAACATGCATAGACTAGTATCTCCTGGTTTGGACTATCAAAATTTGTGAAAATTCTATCTTTTTTATGCCTTCCCTATTCTTTCAAAAGATACGAGCTCAAAAATGTATATTTCTCCCTTCCTATTGTCACACTATAATTTAGTGCTAGAATTGCAATCTTCCCAGCATATCTAATGAGTTTCTTTGGTCCTATTTTAAAGCTTTTAATCTTCATAAATAATAGCTAAGTAAACTTAAGACGCTTGGACAATTTCTTTAGCTTAATATATTCAAATCCACAGTTGGCTCTTCATTTCTTTTCATTTAAAAATAAATCTATCTTGTCTCAATAGGCTCTACATGAATACACACACCTAACAATATAAATCAAAGCAACACATCGAGAATAATGAGATCTACTTGTTAACATTTATAAGAAAAGTGCCATTTTCAGAAATGTCTCAAAAATTATTTTCTGATTAAGTTAATATATATTCTCAAAATATTTCACAACCACACAGTACTTGAATAAGGATTTCCAAACACAGATGAGAAATTTTTTTTCAAGAGGATTTCCATAAACATATGAAAAACTATTTTATATTTTTGAGGGCTTTTCCATTAGCAGAGTGTTTCCTGTCAACTACACCTAATAGATGATTCTATGTACAGGCGTAGCTCGTTTTACTGTGCTTCGCTTTATTGAGCTTCACAGATGTAGCTTTTTTTTTAAAGTTGAAGGTAAGACCCTCTACCAGCAAAAAGATTACAACTCGCTTTATTGTGGTGGTCTGGAACTGAACCCACAATATCTCCGAGATATGCCTGAATATGGCTTCCTGTGTATACTGCCCTGCCTCCAATGGTCATATTTTAATTTTGGAGAAAACCCCAAAAATATTAACTATGACAATGTTTTGGCAACTTTTAAAGTTGTTTTATAGTTCTGTAGACACTGATCCTTCTAGCCAACATCTCTTCAATTACAAAAGTGAAAATTAAAAAGTAACATGTATGAAAATCCAACCAAAATGTCCCCTGAAGAAGAGCTCTGCATGCTTTAGGAACAAACTGAGACTCCTAACTTCAACAGGAAACTGCATCAAATTAATAGTAACATTCCAAATGAGCTATTTTTAGAAATTGAAAATGAAGACTTACTTGCTCTGCTTTTCCATGCTAGCTACCCTGAGGCATTCCCATCTTGAATTTAGAAGATTCATTTGTTCTTGTACTTCAGTTTCTTCATCTTCTGATAATTTCCCTGATCCAATCAGTTGACTTCCCAATTGTAGGACATTACCAACCCTTCCTTGATTGGACGTCAAATCCATCATGTATCCCTGACAAAAAAAGAAATTGAAACAGTGTTTAACACTTTAGGTAAATCATAATTTTTTTTTTTCAATTTTAAATGTATACCCATTTAAACTATAATTTCGGTAAAAGTATTTTAATTTTTGTTTAAGAGAACCCAATATTGTTTTTAATATGATTAAAGAAAATAATTAGCTTAGGTCTCCTTTTGCAGAAGAAGGCCCTGATATAAGGATTTGTGTGCAAGGGAGCTGAAGAAACAGTAAAGAGGACAGGGAATGAGAGGGAGGCAAGTAAGTGTGTCATCTCAGGAAAAGCCTCCCAGTGAGTGTAGTTTAGCCTGACACGACACAGGCACTCTTGAGTGAGTTATAGTTTAGCATTGTCGTGACCCAAGAGAAGGGAGCTGGGATTTCACATTCCTGTATGAGTCACTGGCAAAATCCGATCTCAGTACTTTTAAGTGGTTTTCTCCAAGGCAGAACTTCATATGCTGGCTGTTGGAATCTCAAGCACATGAACGTTTATTAGTCTCCATCTCAAAATAAAAACTAAATTAACAAAATAGAATCTTACAGAGTGAGCTAAAAAGAGAGACTTGCTTTTATGACAAGTCATGTGCTGTGTTTCATAAATCGATGTTTTACTTTACCTCATGAGTATGAAATTGTTCTTTCACTTCTTCTACATTATTAGAAATCTCTCCCTGTGCTTGCAATGTGTCCTCAGCTGAAAGAAGCCATGAAAGTACTTCTTCTAGAGCGGTTTGGTAACTATCCAGGTTTACTTCAGTCTCCATGAATGAACTGCCAAATGACTTGTCTTTAGGAGCTTCCAAATGCTGAACAATAAAACAAATTGGGTGTTATACAATTAGTATTTTTGCAGACTGTTCCAGTACATTAAGTGATAAAATGAATGAAATATTTAAAATGCTAGAAATGTCCACTCGCATTATCAGAGACATCAACAGCCGACACACACAACAGTGATCCTGCATTTTAGCAGCCTCACAAATAACCACGCAAATTTTCAAATGGTAGCCAAAATCAACTTCAAATTAATATTTTATTACAGGTCTTCTGGATTACTATAAAGAGTGAATTAGTACATTCCTTCATGTGATACTTTAAATGCTACAAATCTTTATCCATAAGTATTTTTTTTTTCAGTTCGTACTTTCAATCCTTTACACACACATTACTGTATTATATTTATATAATATATTCCAAATGCACATTAGAGACATCTCTTCTCAAATGATAATGAAATGTTTTTGAAAATTTACAGAGCAGAAGAGTTATCAGTATAAAAATAAGTAGGGGAGGGAGGTAAAATTTAAAAAGAGAAACCTCATCTACACTTCTGAAATTTCTAACAATATAATGACTTCCATGAATTAAGCCTTTATTTCCAGAAGGCTGTGGTTTAAGTAGCAACATATTATCTTAGGAGAAGTAAAATATAAAGTATTTGCTTTCTAATTGAATTAGCAGGATGTTCAATGAAATTCTCAATAGTTGTCTTGGAATTTCTGATGAGATCCTAAAGTTGAGAACAAAGGGTATGAAGTCTCCATAATCCTAAGAAGATGCAGGCCACCAATGAAGGAACTACTAAGATACAGGCCACCAATGAAGGAACTGCTAAAAGGTAATGACGAAACTGGCCTCACAACCCTAAATCCACTACCTCAGAGGTGTATAAGAGGAAGCAAAGAGATTGGAGAATTCTGGCAAGAAAGGATTCCTCTGGAATGCTATTTATGTCTATGTGTGTCTCCACCTCAAGCCAAGCGATGGAGACTTCAAGAGAATCACCTGTAGTAGATAAGGTAGTTTACAGGATGAAATATTGACCTGGTTGTGTGTTTACAGAGATTCAGAAACAATGAGAAAAGTACTACCATGTGACAGGAGAGACCTCTTGGGATAACCTGTGTGTCTGCTGCTTTAATCTCAGGGCCACCATCAGTGGTAAAAAATGTGAGCAAATAAGAAAATCTGCCTGAATTTTTCGTTTGGGTCAAGTACACTCATGCTAGGTTGCTGGGCTTCAAAAACCTAGCTAAGATAGTAGAATGCACTCACATAAAGTGAAGGACTAAA